CACATACACGGAGCATATCGTAAATCAGTGCCTTGTGAAGATTCTTTTTTTTTTGGCACTGGACAGGTTGTTACTTCAATGCCAAACGCTGCAATATAAGAATACCTGTTATATAGGGATTATATATTCCTTATATATAAGGATACCTGTTTCTTAAGTCAAAGTCGAACCAGAAATAAACGGCTGAATATCTTAAACTTCGGTTCCTTAAATGAGATTGTAACGGAAATATTTGTGGTCGGATCAGTTTGCAAAATTTGAAACAGGCAAAATACAGAAGATGTGAAAATTTATTAAATGTGATTATCACAGCACCATTTGCAATCGTTCATAAACTGTTAATTCGCATCAAAGGGATATTCACAAACTCTCGTTACCATTACGATTTGACACCGCATAAAAAGATAATTAAAGCGACAAATGAATATATTACGATCACTTGAAATACTTAATTAACGTCTGATTCGTTAACCTTCTGCGACTTAATACGACTGCTATCATTATAACTTGCAATGCGCAGTTTTGACTTTCGTGTTTTTTTTTATGTTGACAGTGGGTGGCACTGTATCCAGGCGTGCCAATAGTTAGTTGAAACAATAATATTAGCTAAATATTTGTAAGGACAAATTCGCCAGTATAAAATCAACATGACAATAGAAACCCGAGGCTTGACATGAGTTAGCATGACATACAAACAACATCCAACGTCATTCAGAACTCACATCCTTCTTCAATACTTTTCAACGTTGACAGAATGACGTTTTCTGTGGTAATATTTTATAAAATAGTGAGATGTTTTCAGTCGTTTTCCTGCGAATGCCAATGCAAGTCACTGGGATTCAAAAGAGCACGAACGCAACTTGCTTTTCGTATTCAAATGGAACTCTTTTGTTTACAGCGGTGGTTTTACACGACTATATATCGTATGCATAATGTACGGTTTATATTACAGTTTAAACAATACTGTAAATGAAGTCTATACAATCTATAGTAAATACAATATATGTAGTTTATAGTAAATGCAGTATATATAGTTTATAGTAAATACAGTATACATAGTTTATAGTAAATGCAGTATACAGGAAATGCAGTACAGATTAATAAAACTTATACAATATAATAAAACAAATGTTGTATGTTATAGTCTTTGTTTTTTTGTGTACAGCCACTGTAAAGAACGTCGGCCAATTTTTTTTTATACATATTAGTGTTCTGTAATTAGTTGGTTTACAGTATAATCAGCGAAAACCAACTGCTGGTTTTAAAGCACCGTATATATGGATAAGTTTCAAGTATATCGAATTTTTTGATCGACGTTATAATTTTTTTAAAAATTACCTCCATTAAAAGGAGATTTTTTTTATATAGTTCCACAAACTTACCTATTTTATGTTTATATTAGTTTTATAAATGTACCTATTTTATATCAGTTATTTCCTTCCTTATGAAGATAAACACAATCAGATTTCACAGAATGTATTTCAGTACGGAAGAGCAAACGAAAAACCCTGATTGTTGATGAAACGAAAATAAATTTCTTTCAGAATTTTTGCCTTCTACCTTTGTTCTGATAGGGAAAAATAACGTATCACATTTATTTTTTTTTAACAGCGTACACACGTCTGTGGATAAGTCAGTTAGGTATCATCAGAAACCCATATACTTGTTACCATCAATTCCATGATAACTAATACACCACATGATGTCAGAAATCACATTTTGATGAGTAATTTATAAGTAAAAAAAAAGAAAAAACTATCATAGCGCTATAACGAGGAAAAGAAGAATGGTGCTAATGATACTCTTCGGGTCGCTGGCCTTCGATACGTAGCGGCGCACACGGGAGTCAGGAGAGAGACAAGTTGGGTTATATATATTTTATTAGATGTGCGCGTATTTCTATTTCATTCGACGTGGGCGTATATGTATTTCCTTAGGTGTGGGCGCATATGTATTTTCTTAGGTGTGGGCGTATATGTATTTCCTTAGGTGTGGGCGCATATGTTTTTTCTTAGGTGTGGGCGTATATGTATATCCTTAAAGGTGGGTGCATATGTATTTCCTTAGGTGTGGGCGTATGTGTATTTCATTAGATGTGGGCGCATATGTATTTTCTTAGGTGTGGGCGTATATGTATATCCTTAGGTGTGGGCGTATATGTATTTCCTTAGGTGTGGGTGTATGTGTATTTCATTAGATGTAGGTTTATTGATACCAAAATACCGACTTTCTATACCAGCTCAACACTAATGAATATTCGTCGATATTACAATTACTAAAAGAAAACGGTTCCAATTTAGAAATTTTGGGATGGATGTCTGTTTTAAAAATAACGACCAACAGCAATAAACATTTGCTAAAGAATGTTTGTTGTCACTTTTTTAAAAATTTAAATGTAGTATAATCTTTCTGTCATAATACTTTTTTTTGAAGCAGATGAAAAGAAATGTAAAGGTATTAGTATTGATAGTCAGTACCAGCCAGAAAAAAATATCGGTATTAACTTGAAATTCTAACCAGAACCGAGGCTTATGAATCCTTACACGTGGACTCGTATGTCTTAATTGTGATTACATATTCATATACTAACGCATACATACATACATGCATGTAAAAAAGCCTGACTCACCGAACTCACCACACACGCGTTGAATCACATGGCTATCAGTGAGTAAGGGACGCCACACTCACCGGACTCACCACACACGTGATGAGTCACAGAGTCATCCGTGAGTAAGGGACGCCACACTCACCGAACTCACCACACACGTGATGAGTCACAGAGTCATCCGTGAGTAAGGGACGCCACACTCACCGAACTCACCACACACGCGATGAGTCACATGGCCATCTGTGAGTAAGGGACGCCATACTCACCGGACTCACCACACACGCGATGAGTCACATGGCCATCGGAGTAAAACACGCGACACTCACCGAAGAAGGGGATACTGCGCCGCTCCACTGTACAAGACCCAACGCTATGGAAAGTCTGGTAATTAGCATGATTCTTGCGCTTAGATGTCATCGTGGCATTGGAATCTTCGGACATGGTAACACTCTATCTCCTAGTTCTCTTTTTCTCTTTTTTTTCTCTCCGACTCTTGTTCTTTGGTCGTCTCTTTTCGGAAATTTTATCGCTCTCAGTGTGTCACGGATTTTCCCATTCATAAGCGAGTCCAGATCACTTCAATTGCGTCAATGATACTTCAAACTATTCGGAATCAAAACGTACGCTCATAACACGTTACCGTATGTATGTATGCATGTCTGGTCTTCTCACTGGATATCAACAATGAAGTTTACCTCCACTATTCGTCGCAAAACAAACACGTAAATAATGGCATACAAGTTCCACCATCTCTCAGATCTATTTCACCATGGTGTTTCCTCACATCCACTTTACCCTGGAAACTCAGCACCAAACAATGTAGGAAATCTATCTCCGGATCACCGATTCAGGAACACCTGTCTTGCCCGCAGGTGTTGCCCCTAAACACATGTTCCGGATCAAACATGGAGGCGTACGTGAATTACTCATGACTCATGCTCATACGTACTCACTTAACAAACAAATATCCGCATATGGAGTAAACATGGAGACAGATGTGAATTACTCATACGTAGATGCACGGAAGGTGTTAATTAGACATGTTTATATACAATGTATATGCATGAATATGATATTTATACTCAGCTTTATCTATCTATCTATCTATCTATTTATCTATATATATAGATGTGTGTGTGTGTGTATAAATATATTTACACACATATATACACAGTATACACATGTGTGCGCACATACACAAAAGCACACATACACACACGCACACGCACGCGCACACGCATACGCGAGCACATACACGCGCACGCGCGCGCGCAATATGTATTTTTACGCATCCATACATATATGTGTGTATGTTATCACAAGTTTCAAGAGGAAAAAAAATATTCAGAACCGTTCTTTCAGCCATTTTGGTATTCAATTGTCTATCAATTTATCCCTGTGCCTAATCGTTTACATTTCTTAAATTGAAATAGTTTTTTAAAGGTTTATTAATGTATTTATTCATATCAACATTTGGTTTATCTAATGAAATACATTATAAAGTGATCCAAAGTTCTGTTCATTTGTCTAGTCTAAAATTTAATGTGTGATTAATTTAGTTGTTCAATAATTTATAGCATAACTTCATAGATCATTAACCATCTCCAGTTTATCTAGTATATGAATTATATTTATCTATTAGTTGATCCATCGTTTAACTTATTTTTTCTCATTATATTACATACTCTGAAATTATTATTTTTCTCTCTTCGTTTCTTCCACTTACGAATCTTCTACATCTTGCTTGTATAATCCAGTTTAACTACATCTCCTCACAAAAGTTTATTTATCAAGTGTATGCAAATGTATTAAAAACATCTGTGAAGATATTCCTTTCCCTTCATACCTTTTCTACTTTTATTTATCAATCGATCTATCAACACAATGCTTTGCTTATTTGTTTACTTACCCATATAGCAACTTAGTTATATTTGGTATCCATGATTTACTTAAATTATCCTTTAGTTTTCTAGTTTTCTATGATCTATCTAAGTTTATTCATTTGATAATTCCTTAAATATTCATTCGGTTACAATTTATCTCATTAGCTTATCAATAAATATGATTCAGTGTTTTATATGAAGTATTTTATGTATTTGTCAAATATACCTAATGGTTTGTAATAAATTTCTCTATTCTCTTGTTATTCATTTTATTCAATCCGGTAGTTTATAGCAGTTTATTCATTTAGTAAATTCACACATGGGCCTGATTGTTAAGCCAGAAAAATATCTCAATTATTTGATTTAATAGTTAATACACTGTAGGTAATATATGCTGTATCACTCAAGTCATTTACAATAGTATCCGTTCTTATCTCACCGCCATTTTTTTTTTAAACACAGAGCATGTCGTTTAATTCAGGGTAAACATTAAAAGTCAATGTATCATTTATTTAGAATCTTTAAAAATACCCAATTATGGTTACTGTTATAAAATGCTAAAATTATAGGAATAGGAATAATGATTCTAATTCCATTAAAGAAACATTATTAGTTGAATCACCGACAAACTGTGAGATTTTGTTATTTATATCGAATATAAGAATATAAGATTAGGACACACACAGCTATGGTTCTGGCCTGAAATGTCCCTGTTGTGGTGGTTAATTACATATGAACTTATGTATAACTCTAAGATGGATATCCGTTAAAGACATCACAGTGTGTATGGTGTTTTACTCGTTTCAACTCTAACCTTCGAGAGGGATTCGTCAAAAGACATCACCAGATACGTTCCTGTTCTTAGCCGTCTTGTTTACGAAAGGTTCATTGAGGAGGGAAGGGTACTGGCGAAGGATCTCATGAGTGAAGATGTCAGTGCTGTGTACAGGTCCTCATATGATATTCGTATTCATCCTCTGAATAAAGAGCAGGGGGCATCAAGTAACATGCCGTTACATTGGAATGTGTGATGTCACAGACTGAATTCGATCTCTACTTTAAATGCAAAATGGTGAAGAGGATGTCATCAATTCCTCATAGAGAGATGACCTGCATATGCCCCATAATCTGTGCTGTGTGAGTCCCCAAAAAGATGAACATAGGCAATAATTTTGTGTGACCTGACCAGTCAATACTTATTATTACTCATTTACGAGTAATAGGACCAATCTAAAACACCGACAAAATGGTCTGTATTTTCGTCTACTGCCGTCTAACAACGTTTTTTTTCTGCCTTTCTCTCTCCCTCTCCCTCACTCTTAGTACCTTAATAAAATCCAGCGACTCCCCTCTTTGCTGTGCATCGTCTTCAACTAGCAAGCACTTCTTTCAGTTGACAAGGGTCGGAGCGCTGACAGAGAGCGAGCAGGATGAATGTAAACACAGCAGGTCGATCGTGTACATGCCAGGGGTGTGGTCGGCGCCGTATAAAGTGGAGTCTGTCAGTACCCCTTCCTCTAACTTGTAGAATAGCACGGACACTGCCTGAGGAATGAGAAGATTGGTCGGTCATTTAAAATCATCTGCCGCGTCAATAGCTAAGGTCATTAGCGGCGAAGGAATAAGAAGAGGGAATTGGGTCATGGACTTTTTTTTAGACAAGTTATGTGTATTTTTCACATAGTATTCTTGCTTCGATGAGGTTTATTGCATTGACATGTGTTAAGAGCACTGGGAAGTGATGGCGATGAGAAGGAAAATTAAGATCGGTTTAATGAAGAGAGAGAGAGAGAGAGAAAGAAAAACCAGTTTAATAAAGAGAAAGAGAAAAAGAATGAACGAAACAGACAAAGAAAGAAACAAATAAAGAAAGAAACAGACAGAGAAAGAAACAGACAAAGAAAGAAAGAAACAAATAAAGAAAGATAACATACTCTAGTATATCCCGTGTGGTCTAGTGGCTAGGATACGCGGCTCTCACCCGCGAGGCCCGGGTTCGATTCCCGGCACGGGAACAGTTTTACTTTATGAATTCCAAAATTTGCAGAAGCGTAAAGATACAGACGGTAACAGATGAGGATTCGTGCCAAAGACTTCGGAATGACATCGCAAATTTCTTTAAATAGATTATGAAATTATGCCCTGTTGTCTATAACTATAAATATAACTGTAAATATAATTATGAATATAACTATGAACATAACTATGAATATAACTATAAATATTACTATATATAAAATAAAAAAAGGAAAAGCTCGGAGCAAGAGAAGAAAAAATCGAAATAATCATATATGAAAGTTTAAACCAGCAGGATCCTTTAAAAGAGAAATTTCACAAAATACAATCACAAATCTCAAACTTAAAAATAGCAGTCATGTACGTAGACGAAGCTAAGAGAAAAATAAAATCACGAGGATCACAAAGCCAACTTTAAAGCATGTGTCCGTGTCTTTCTCCATTTAAGGAAGGACACGGATAAACTGGGGCGAAGTTTCACGAGCGGCCGCCAGATGGAACACCGACTTTGAGAGACTTGAACTACGAGGAAATACTTGAAGGAATTAAAACTTACAACTTAAGAGGAAAGAAGAAAGCGGGGTGAGGAGTTTATGCTTGACAATAATGTCTCATAAACAGTGAAAACAGAGAATGACAAATACGGTTCTAGATTAAGATAAGACTAACATGAGGTCATGACAATAAAGTTAAGGATAAAATGTGGTGACAAGGAAGTAGAGAAATCTCGTTTTCCAAATCAGACGATTGATAAATGAAAAAAACTGTCCACAAAACGGTGTATGATCTAAAAATATGTCACTTGAAAATATCTTATGTATATGTGCACAAGTGTAATCAATGACACTGTATTATCTTAAGTGAAACATAATGTGATATCTCACCTCAGAAGGCACAAGAAGCCAGTTATTGGAAGCGAAAACGGTAATTAAACCTTTCGCGTCGTTTATGTTGTGTACTCGCCAACGCATGAACTGAAAATGATGGAAAGAGATTTAGTGTTATTAAAATGTTTCTATCAAAATATCCTACAAATTCCCATAACGAAAAGAATACTTGCTTTATACACAGTGCAAAACCCGTATAATAATAAAATTAAAAGACAATTATAAGAGTTGATAATGTCAACATACAAAAACAAGAAACAAATGACAATAATTCGATCAACCATGCCAAAGGACACAGACAACAACAATAATAAATACAAATAAGAATAATAAAATGAAAGAAAAAATGTAAAGATAAATAAAGACAAAAAAAAATGTCACCAACCACGTGATCCTGAGTATCGATGCAGACTTCAGCATTCCCGCATTCCGTGATGTTCGCGAGGCCTTCCTGCGTGGCCTCAAAACTGACATCAATAGCAACGTTCGAAGTCACCTTTGCCAACACCTCGGGGGCCACAGCACCTCGCAGGCGGACTTCCACGGGGTAGTGGTCGCTCACGTCCTCAATCTACCGACATAATGCCCCTTTGTCCTTAACTCTTCCTCCTTCTATTTAACCTGCCCCGTTTTCTTCCCCGATTTCTATTCTTTTCATTACCATACTAACTTACAATGCCATATGACCGTTGAAATCTAAGGCAATTTCTACTAAAAAAAGAATTTTAAACCCTCCAACCACAATATTTTACCATGTAGGTTTATGACTTTGATGTCTAGCACATTTACATATTTTTTTAAACATCGAACCATTAAACCCTGCTTAAATTTAGTATATGCTCCATAAATATTATCGTCGTTTTAAAATGATTAAAATACGATTTACCACTAAATAAATGTCAAAAGTCTGACACTTACCAACGCATGGTCTTTAAGTCCGAGTTCCTCTTCGAAGTAGTAGGCTGTAGCGGAGCCCGAGTATACGACACTCGTTAGGTTGGATCCTGATACCACGATCCTTAAAGGGTGGATGTTATTACATTATGATATATTTATATCATATTACATTATAACACACACATATATACACACATATACACACACACATACACACATATACACACACACAGACACACACATACATATACACACACACACATATACACATACACATATAAATATACATACACACACGCACAGACAGTGTCACACCCTGGTATATGTTTGCCCTTTACGCGTGCATTATTGAAACCTGTTGAACCTGTTGTATCAAAGTGTATACCTTCAACGTAATTGGCTGATACACACCGGCCAGCCAATTAAAGCGCGGTATTTTTCAGATATATTTTACGTAGTCTCTGATATGGATTTATATCTTCATTAATTACGAATCGCATCGAAAGTTTCTTGATATAACTTTTTGTTATAAAGGTGCATAAAATGTTTCTGTGCCTTTTTTCATCACATCAAATACATGTTCAAACTATATGGGTACGAATTGAAGTCAGTGATGACGATCGCTGGAATGACATGGTAAGAATGTCCGAGTCACACACACACACACACACACACACACACACACACACACACACACACACACACACACACACACACACACACACATGCACACGCACATACACACACACATGCACACATACACACACAGTTATATATATACATATACATATATACACACACATATATGTATGTGTGTGTGTGAGTGTGTGTATGTTGTGTGCTAGCGTGTTTATATATGTATATATACATAAATGTATACATATGTATATATATATATATATATATATATATATATATATATATATGCACACATATCTATACGTATATATGTGCTTTTGTTATATATGTATGCTTATGTAATATATATATATATATTCTTATATAACATATATATATATATATATATATATATATATATATATATATATATATATATATATATATATATATATATATATATATTCTTATATACAATATATGTATATATGTATATATATATATATATATATATATATATATATATATATATATAAATATATATATATATGCTTATATGATTTAGGCCTACGTATATAATGACTGCACAACGTATATGATATATATCAGATATGTATATATATATATATATCATATATAATATATATACCAATGCATACACACACACACATATGTGTGTGTGTGTGTGTGTTGTGTGTGTGTGTGTGTGTGTGTGTGTGTGTGTGTGTGTGTGTGTGTGTGTGTGTGTGTGTGTGTGTGTGTGTGTGTATAGTAAATATCTATATACATTTATATTATATATATAATATATATGATATACATGTATATATATAAGTATATATATAATATATATGATATACATACATATATATATATATATATATATATATATATATATATATATGTATGTATATATATAATATCTATAAATAAATATCTATATCTCTATACATATATGACATATAGCAGACACACACACTTATATGCATACTACACAATGCATGCACACATTCACGCACAATATATGTATACACATTCTTACACATTATTCCTAAGAACCAATTGCCACAACCTACGCTGTGCTCCAACCTACCTGTCATAGGGACAAGCTGTGCCCTTGACTGTTGTGTCGACGTGATCGGAGATGAGCCAGTTGAAGCGCGGATCTTGTCGAAGCCGGACGTTGGCCCATTCGCTGTTCGTCACGTAGTTGCAGCCTGCGTTGAAGTCCCCCAGGATTATCACGTCTGTAGGTGGAGAAAATCAGGGGGATTATTTTCACGGTGTTGGAAGTTGTGGTCGGAGGCAGTGTTTCCCGTGTTTTCGTCTTTGATTGTGTTATAATAAACTTTTTTTTTTCTAGATCTTACTTTTTTATTATTTCGCTCTCTCACTCTGATGTTACACATGCATACACTATCGTGATCTCTTCTTTCTTATTAATTTCTTTCTCTCTCTCTCTCTCTTTCTATATATACATATACATATACATATACATACATACACTTCCCCCTCCCTGTCTCTCTCCCATCCCATCTCACCGTTAGCGCCCAGATGCAACCTCAAATCTTCGTACACGTCCACCAACGCATCAATCTCTTGTACCGCGTTGTCCGGTTTGGTGTGGATAGAGACAGTTCCGAACCGCAGCTGATTCGAATCTTCAAACACCAGCACGTAGGGGTCATACTCAAAGGCGTCGACTGGGTCGGAGTACTGTTGGGCGGACACCAGGGTAGCTCTTGAGGGCTTGTAGTAGATGGCGTACCTAGATTGGTATGGAGTATGACGTTTTTGTTGTGTATGGTATACTTAGTGCTGTGTAAGACCATTAGTTTTGTTTTTCTTTCCGTTGAAGGGTATTGACTTTGGACTATTGCTGTCTAAATGATATTTCACTAGTTGTTAGATTATCCTTCATTGTGGTTGTATTCGGTACTCTTTTCAATTTAGATAATATCGAAAGTGTCATACAACTAATGCAGTAAGAAATACACATGATATTGTTTCCGAAACATTTTTTTTTTAAGTTTTAATAATTTAAAAGGTCCCTTCAGCCTTGTAAGCAAATATTCACTGAAAAAAGTAAGAAAAATGACTGTTTAATCAAATTACTTACTGCTCCTTGTAGCTTCTCCTTCCTACCCGTTTGGACAGCGAGAGGTTGTAGGTATCAGTCAGTCCTTCGTTGAGAGCACTTAGAAGACGTTTCGGTGTTTCTTCCGAGACGTCTTGCACCTCCAGCACCGCCACTACATCGTACCTGCGAAGTACCTATCGGAGGAATAAAAAAAAGAAAAAAAAAAAGCTAGAAACGATTATTTCCCTGTGTAGCTTTTGTCGCCCTTCTGAAACCTCCCACACGAAGGTTTCTTCCACCTTACAGAAAACTGAGTCCCATTCCTCCTTCATTAAGCACTCGCGAGGGCCTTTAATCACAAACAGACCCACGTCCCTTACCTGAACCATGATGGAAACCACTTCAGGCTTGCTCATCTTGGTTTTCCCGAGGCGCTGGACATTCCACGCCCCGATCCTCAACGGCGTCACGATATCGGCTCCCTCGATGCTTAAAATCGCAAACGCAAGAAACGCCACAGGCATCAAGCCTAGCTCCATTTTTTTCTCCTGTATGGGTTGAAATGTCGATGTTAGTATTAATTTCGTCGATGTTCTTGTTTTCTTGTCATTTTTATCATAATCTTATTTGTGTTGTGTCATTTTGACTGCCATTATCATTGTTGTTACCGTTAGCCTCATAACTATTAGGCTAATGTAACAAACTTATGATCACAACTATTATAATCATAATCACTAATATCGTTCTCGGAGCCGGAAGGAGAGCAGTGGTTAAGTCATATCACGCGTGTGGGTTGCAGGACTTTAAGAAAGGATTAGGATTGAAGTGGTTGTGTCTGTAAGGTGTTTGTGTGTATGTGGTTTGAGGTTTCTACTGTACTCTTACTGTTTGTGTGTGTTGTGGCAGCCCTTCTGGTTATGGCGTGTCTAGCGGAGTGAATGTTACAGTAGTCCGTGTTGGTCAAGTTTAAGAAATTACTGTGTGACTCTCATGTGAGTCATGTATGTTCTGCTTTTAAGTATCCGTGCTTGTGCATGCCAATGAGGTTTGTTACCAAATATGTGACTGCGAATAGGTGCGCTTGACTGCATATCTCGAGTAGTTCCATATTAATTTCTTTTGTTAATGGGAGAGTAAGGTGTGGAATAAATCACGGGGTCCTTGTATAAACCTGCACGGACTTGTTAACTTGTCGGTGAAAGCGTTCCATACAGCAGTACTCCACGGTTGGTCCTAAGAAAGTATTCTAAACTATGTAAAGGTATTGTATACTATTATACAGTAAGTTGTCTTGTCTAATGAATCCAGGAATTCTAAATTCTAGGCTTGTCATGTAATTCACGAGTACTGAAGTTAGTTTGATAAAACATGGACTCTGAGATTCCTGTGTTATATTGTGGATGTGTACGTATATCAGATTAATGCGTGGCATTTTATTAAACCAAAGCACCTTCACTTGACCGTTCTGAATTTTACTTATTGGGTTCTCATTGTTTGTGGGCGTCTAG